ATCATAAAGCTGTCGAGAGCACACCATACAAACTATGGCGTGGGAGAAAACTGAGTTTCTCGTACTTTAACATTGGGGGTTTGGAAGCTTATGTTAAACGTCTCATGACGTCTAGTAAGTTGGTGCCTAAATTTGATAAAGTAATTTTTGTGGGATACCCTAAGGAAACTAGAGGGTATGAGTTCTATCATCCACCCGATAACAAAATCTTCGTTGCTCGGAGTGGAACCTTTCTTGAGAAGGAGTTTCTCTCTGCTATCAGTAGTGGGAGAAAGGTAGACCTCGAAGAAATTCGAGAACCACAAGAAGAAGTCCCGATAGTATTGGAACCTGAGCAAAGAGAGCAATAAATTGAACCTCAAATTTCTCAAGATATACCACGTAGGTTAGACCGGATACGTAATCTTCCGGTCAGATATGGATTTCTCATGTCTGATGAAGGTGACGTTTTGTTGGCAGATCAAGACGAACCAGAGACCTACCTCGAGGCAATTACAGGCCCCGAATTTGATCTATGGCTCAAAGCCATGAAATCTAAAATGGAGTCTATGTACAAAAACCAAGTATGGACCTTTGTTGATGCGCCTGAAGGGGTAAAACCCATTGGATGTAAGTGGGTCTTCAAAAAGAAGACAGACGTAGACGGGAAGGTTCATACCTTCAAAGCTTGATTGGTAGCAAAAGGTTATAGACAAATCCACAGAATTGCTCCACAAGCTTATGAATGTGATTAGGAACACCAAGTCTCTCACAATACCTCAAATTTGGGGTTCAAATCAGTAGCAAACCGAAGAAAACCAGGCCTGCAATTCCCGCTGTGAACAGTGTATGCAACTGGGTTGACCATCAATTGACATGAAATCCTCCACATATCTTTGAAATTGAGGTCAAAATAGTAATCTTCATGGATAGAAAAATCCAAGGAACCTAAAATAATCAAAAATGAACCACAAAATCAAGGGGAGATTCTCTTTGGAAGATCCGTGGCACTGTTCATCGCGAGGTGCTGCCCAGACCTAAAGAGAGAAATTATGATTTTATTGGGAGCTCTTTCGAGGGTAAAATGTAAATTATTATTACTCCTAATCAGAACGGTACATCAATATCATATGTTGAACCATAGAAATGGTTCCGTGCATGTAATGAATACAACAACAATACAACAACTCAACAACTTGGCACGCAGGTCGTACAAATACACAATCAAAACACAAACTTGGCATGCAAGCCGTACAAAACAAACAACCAAAAGCAAACATCCATGTGGTCAAACATATCCATGAGGATCCCACGTCCAGGCTCTTGTGAAGTCAACCAGCTTCCAGTACGACGAAATATGGTAGGTCGAGACCAGAGCGTAGAGGGAGCATATGTTGAAGGTAGGGCACCCCAAGCACACATACTCCCTCTAGAAGGACAATCGTATCAATAATCAATCATCAATCAAAATCATCAAATGAGGTGTTACCAAAATCAGCCCAAAATGCTTATCGAAAGCCTTCATCGATCCAAGAGATATTAGGGAACATCCCCCAATAGAGAAGAGGATTAGGATTCCACCGGTATACCAAACAAACCAATCACAGTCCATCAATGGCATTTCTTAACACAAGCAAAAGTACCTGCCATAAGGCTGTCCATGGATAGTTTCCATTCTAGCAACATGTTTCCATGAGCACGGTCCAAAGTAATGGCATTACAAGTGTTCAATGAGCCAAAACCATGTGAACCGAGAGATAGCAGCCAATGAAAAGGTTTTATTAGGTTTAAAACCCCTTAGTAGTATTAAGAGTAAATTAACCTCAAGAGGTTAGTTTATTCCCGTGTCGTCTCAAGGATCGGCACAAGGGAAAGTGTAATGGGACTGGTTAGGCAAAAAACTGCTGCCGGGTACCTCATGTTTTGTTGTAAGAACTGCCAGGTACCTCTATTTTTCAAAATATACTCTCAAGTACCCTAGATTTTGAAAAAATATACTAAGGGGAGATTTTCCGTCCCCTTTCCGTCTTTCCCCCTTTCTCCGTTACATTAATGCACCATCATCATCATCCATCATCCATCATCCATCATCACCATCATCATCCATCTTCGTTCTTCCTCCTCTCTTCTTCTTTTTCTCTTTCTTCTTTTTCTTCTCCTCCACCCACTTCCAATCTCCCTGCCCCACCCCTCACCCTTTATTTCTTCTTCTTCTCCTTTTATTATTATTATTATTATTATTATTATTATTATTATTATTATTATTATTATTATTATTATTATTATCATTATTATTATTATTATTGTTATTATTATTATTATTATTATTATTAGTATCATCATCATCATTCTTTTTTGTTAACAAAAAACCATCATTCTTATTATATTATTACTACGTATTATTATTATTATTATTTATTACAAAGTATTTTTTCTTCTAAATTATTATTGTTAATATTATGAAGTAATATTTTCTTCTTATTCTATTATTATTATTATTATTATTATTATTATTATCAC